GAGAGAGAGAGAGAGAGAGAAAAAAAGAAAAAGAAAAAGAAAAAAAAAACCTTGTTAGAACGACGATGAACAATATCCATCCATTCACACGATCATTCAACAACGATTCTTTGTTTTTCATTTTTTTTCTTTTTTTTTAAATTAAAATTTTCAACCAAAGTCTAACGTGGTAATAAAATAAATTTTTCAATAATAATAATAATAATGATAATAATTTGTTAACAACTAATGCCACGAAACGAGAAAAACGTTTTAATAAAAAAAAAAAAATGTCTTATTTTGTGTTTTTAAACGTACGTAAAAAAAAATTGATTCTTGAACGTGGAAATAGAAACACCAAAGATAAAAAAAAGTAATTTTTTTTCCCACTTTAAAATAAAAATAAAGAGAGAGAGACAGAGGGGGAGTGGGGGGAAAGGGGAGAGAGAGAGAGAAAAAAACAACAACACATTATTTAGTAGTAAGAGGAGAAGTTTTAAGAAAACGGAAATGTATGAAACATAGAATGAATTTTAAGGAAACTAAAAAGTGGCGGACAGGAAGTTGAGGAAACTGGAAATAGAAAGAAATAAGAAAAAAAAAATAAAAAATCAGTTTCCCGGTCACGTAATAACAAGCAGAAGAAAAAAAAAAAAAAAAAACTCGTGATTTTTATTGATATTTTTATTATGCGACCATACATTTATTTATTTATTTATTTTTCTGCATAGATAAATAACGGGTAATTTTTTTTTTATTTAAACAATTTATATTTGTTTGAATAGAAATAATTTTTCTCTCTCTCTCTCTCTCTCTTTCTGTGTGACCAATTTTAACCATGTTTGGTAAATAAAGAGTTTTTTGACGTTTAAATTTATTTTTTGAATACAATCGCGCGCCATTTTTCCTTTTCCCTCTTATTCAAATAAATAAATAAGAAAAAGAAAATTTATTTTTCGATTGATTAATAAAAGTCGCCATCGAAAAATCTCATATTATTGCAAGTTAATAATTTTAAGAGCAAAGAACTCAAGAAGCTGATGATGATGATGATGATCTTTGTTTATTAATGTCAATTTTAATGATTTCAACAAACATCATCATCATTATCAAATACACGAGACATTATTCGTATTTTCTTACGTATACGTATCGAGAGGACCTTTGGTAAATGGCATATTTCAGATTGAAATACAAGAGAAAAATTATTTAATGTTAAAAAAAAAAAATTTTTTTTAAAAACCAAAACAGTTTTAAATTACGACAACGTAAATTCCCAAACAAAAAAAAAAAAAAAAAGATAAATAAATCAAATCGTTGAATAAAAGCACACAAAATGAAGGTTTCTCTATAGAAAAAAAAAAAAAAATTAACGTGGGCAAACATTAGAACTCACACAAATGAAATGAAATGATCATTCCTTTGATCGATTTATCGATTTATCGATCGAGCAATCGATTGATCGATCGATAAATCGATAAATCGATATCGGCATGCGTGCACAAAACAATGACCGCATCATCACATAAAAACACAATCAAGGAAAAAAAAATTGAAAAAAATAAAATGGCGATGGTGAATTTTTTTTTTTTTTTATACTAAAAAGAGACAGAGATAGAGGAGAGAGAGGAGAGAAAGAGAGAAAGAGAGAGAGAGAGAGAGACTTTAAACCAAATTAATAAATAAAAATGATTTTTCCACGTTAGAAACGACGACATTAAACAAATTAATACGTAAAATTTTTAATTTTGCTCCCGCGCACACGCTCACAATATTTCGCAACCTATTAATAATATTAATAATAATAATAATAATAATAATTGTTTTTTTTTTTTTCTCAGGCTCAGTTTCTTCTCTTAATTTACGTGATTTGTGAGAAATCCCGATTTAATTTTTTTTTTATATAAATAAATAAATAAATTTTGTCCTCAAGTAATTAATAAAATTTATTAATAAAAAGTACTAATTAGTCGAGTTGAAGATTTTTTTTTGGTTTTTAACTAATGGAGAAGTTTACCGTGAACGTTAAAAACAACAACAACAACGGGTATAATAATTAATATATATAATTAATTTATTTTATTTTTACGTTTTTTTTTCCTTTTTAAACGTACGTCCGTTAAAGTGTTATTAATTTTATTTAATTATTTATTTATTTTTCCCCCATATATATATATATATATATGCCAATAATCGACTAAATTTATTTTTATGTACATAAGTTGTATAAATATTTAATAATTTTGCAAAACTTTTAGAAGGAAACGAAACTAATGACTACAGATTCTTAAGCTTTATATATATAGACATTTTTAATTGGACTACGAACCCAAAAATTAAAAAAGGAAAAAGGAAGTAAAGGAAGAGAGACAAAAAGAAAGAGAGAGAGAGAGAATCAAATGACAGATGTGAAGATGAAGAAGAAGAAGGAGAAGGAATAGAAAAAAAATTTTTTTTTTTTTTGAATTGATGAGGGGCAGAAATTTTTAACGATTTTTACGAGTCGATGTGATTTTCAACGATTTTTAGGGCTTAAAATTTTTTGTCCCCCGCCCCCGCCCTCCCCTCACCCTCCCCACATATGCCTCTCCCTCTCACTCTGCAATTTTTTGTAAATGTTTCTGACAGTTTAAAAACGTTTCGACATAAATTCTCATTTTTTTTTTTAGGTGCGATGGCGTTTTTTTTTTTCTCCTCTAAACGCTTTCAAAAAAAAAAAAAATTCAAATTTATTTAAGATAAAAATAAAATAAATTAAAAAAAAAAATTAAATAATTTATTTTAAACCCTCAAAAATAAAAAGGAAATAAAGTAACGTTTTAATTTAAACGTTTTAAAAAAAAAAAAAAGCCGACCGACACCGCCATGATTGATGTTTACCAGCTTCCATCTCAAAAAAAAAAAAAAAAAAAAATTATTTTTAACGGTTTTTTTTTTTTTTCCTTTTACTCGACGCGAAACATTATTATTATTATTATTATTATTATTATTATTATTATTATTATTATTATTATCAATGAATTAAAATTAAAATTTTTTTTTTTTTTTTTTTTTTTTACCGTGATAAAAATTTAAATTGACGTTATCGATAATACGTTTTTTTTTTTTTTTCTGTTGTTGTTAAATCATAGTAAAATATTAATCAACGATTGTGAAATTGACAAAACATTGTCCTCCATTTTGTTTTTTTTTTTTTTTTTAAATGAGTTTTTGCGTGACCCTCAACGTTTGCTCTTTTATTAACCCCGTCGAGTATCGATGACGTTTTTTTTTTAAAGATAATCGTGGGTAGAAGTTTAAAGAACTTTTTTTTTTTTTTTTCTAAGTTATAAATTTCTTTTATAATTAATTAATTAATTATAACCAAAAAAAAAAAAAAATTTTCTTTTTCTTAAAGTTCATTCAAAAAAACTTTTATTAACAAATAATAATAATAATAATAATAATGATACTAACTACTACTACTACTACTACGACACGTTAATTAATTATTACAACAAGGAAAAGAAAAAATGTCGTAATAAAATTGTTTTCAAATGTCTCTCTCTTTCTATCTCTCTCTTTCTCTCTCTCTCTCTCTCTATCTATCTATCTATCTATCTATCTCTCTCTCTCTCTCTCTCTTATAAAAATACATTGAAACGAGATGAATAATTGGCTTAATTAAAAAAAAAAAAAAAAAAAAAAAAAGTTGCGAAATAATTATTAATTAAATCTTTCTCGTGTTTTTCTTTTTTTTTTTTCTTTGCTAAAAAACCCAAACAACAACAACAACAACAATAATAATAATAATAATAATAATAATGATATTTAAAATGAAAAAAGTAAAAAAATTTTCACAGAGAAAAATAACAACCGGAAAATTATTAATTTATTTATCATTATTGAAACGTTTATCGATGGTGAAACGGTGACGACGTGAAACTCGAATCATTTATCCCGTTTTTCCGGGGGAAACCCCCCCATCTCCCCCCCCCCCTCCGAAAAAAGAAAAAAAAAACAAAAAATTAATTTCTAATAAATTATCAACATATTATTACATAAGTTAAGTAAAAAAAAAAAAAAAGAAAATTTTCCATAAATGAAATCGTAATATAAAAAAATTTTTTACAATGTCAAAGTCTAAACGATCAATAGTTAAATAGATAGTAGTAATAGTTACAAAAAAAAAAAAAAATTGGTATTATGTGGTATCGATTGACGTTATTAATACATAATGTAATAAAAAAAACAAAACAAAGACACGCGGGTGGTATTAACATTTTTTCTATTTTTTTTTTACGTAGGCGATATTAAATTTTTTTTTTTTTTAGGTTTATCATAGGGCACCTGATCATCTGGCATTTTACACAAAAAAAAAATTAATTTCTCTCTCCAAATAGTAAAAATTTTGTTTGATCTTAGCAAATTCATATCAGGAAACCTAAATGGGATCCAGGTATCGCACGAATCCACGAATTTAAAATACAACAACAAACAGACATTAATTTCAAGTTAATAAAAATGGCATCCATAATTTATATTATAATATAAATTTATGATTTATAATACTAAACGTATATGCGTGTGTGTGTGTTTACGTATAGCAGACGACGGTTATAAATTAACAAAAGAAAGACATAAATATATATAAAATCAGAGCGCAAAAGATTTTTTTTCTTTTTTCGTTTTAATATTTATTTAAGGATTCATTCATTCATTCATTCATTCATTCATTCATTCGTTCGTTCGTTCGTTCGTTCGTTCATTCATTCATTCATTCATACATTCGCCATTAAAAGAAAAAAATTTTAAACGATTCGACCAGTTACTAAAACCGATATTATTGTATTTCATTAATAAATTTAAATTAAAATTTTTTTTTAAATTTTGGCGCCATTTTAATCTTTATTCGTGGGCGATATATTGACCTCGCCTACAACCACATCGAACCCGGTCACGGGAAGAATAAAAAAAAAAAAAAAAACGGTCAAATTTTAAAAAAAAAAAAAAAAAAAAAAAAAACCATAATTTAAAATAAATTAATATTATGAAATCAAAAAAAAAAAAAAAAAACCAGTTAAATAATAATAATAATAATTATTATTATTATTATTTGGATGGTCTGTTAGGTGTGTAGGCCACGGTTGGCGTCAAAAAAACAAAAGTAAACGTAAAATGGCGGTGGGCGGTTTAAAAAAAAAAAATCCAACAAACAACAAAAAAAATTTTTTTTGTGGTGACAAATAATTTTTTTTCCAACAATTCATTATTATTGAATGAGAACAATCATCATCATCATTATTATTATTTTTTGATTTACATGCAAATAATTTATCATATTATTTTGATGCTGTCTCGATTGACAAATTCAATATCGCCCCCCCTCCGCCCCCGCCCCCTGCCCCCGAAATGATTGGATTTATTTGAAACATACAACAACAACAACAAAAAATTTAAATTCTTTTCTTTTCTATCCTTTTTTTTTTTTTGCAAGTATGTAAATTTATTTGACATTGTTTAATTTTTTTTTTTTTTTTTTTTGTTTTTTAATAAATCATAATCAAAAAATAATAATAATAATAATAAAACGGGTTAATATTTGGGGAAAAAAAAAATGTTTTAAATGGACGAGAAAAGCGAACCACGTGATTTTTTTTTTTTTTTCGGGTGTTTTCCTCACCATCCTCGCCCACGTGTTTTATTTACACAATATCAAATAAATAAATCATATTCAAGATGAAAATGAATTAAAACGCGTTTACTTTTTACTTTTGTAATGTTTAAACAAAAAAATTACCCCACAAGTAATAATAATAATAATTATACTGAATCGTCAGGGAGATTAAGAAAAACTATCGATTATTTAATATAGTCGAACCTGATTCCTTATACCTTGGGTATAAATTTCCAAAAAAAAAAAAAAAAAATTAAAATTTTTCTTTTTTGTTACTGATCTCAATCTGACCTGATCTGAAAATTTGAATTTTACATTTATGGTAGTGGTTTAAAAATATATATATTTAAAAAAAAAAAAAAAAATTTTCCTTTTATAGAAATATTAAATTAAGATAAATTGTTTTTAAACCTCTCTCTCTCTCTCTTTCTCAGCTGTTAAATGTTTAAAAGATGGTTAAATTCTCCGACTCCCCATATTTTTTTTTTTTTTTAATAAAAAACACATTCAAAGAAGAAGAAAAAAAAATTTAAATTATCAACTTACCTGTCGTATTCTTGATTATCCTCATCGCATCTTTCATCCTTCATTTCCTTCCAGCTCTTACCATGTTTACACGTTGTGACTAGAACCATATCTTTTTCGTTATGAAGGTGATACAAACTATTCCTCGTTTCCGACCCGATTCCGTGAACGTAACGTTTTCCCTTAAATGCCAAAACGTATTTTTTTATCACGGGAAAATTATTAGACGACACATAACCACTTTCCCCGCCTTTCTCGCGATGATTTTTATGAAAAAGAGGAATGCTCACGTCGAAATTTGGACGAAAATGTACCGTGCTCATGCTCGCTTTTGCCAATATGGAAAAACCGTAATCGAACCCGAGATTTTCCTCCGCGTAATCCGGCCACGTACCCGAATATAAATTAAAAATAACATGATTTCGTCCTTTGTTCCAATAAGGCAATTTTTGTATTCTAAGAGGCAAATTCCGAACGTAATCATTACTCAATGAATCTCGATCTAATGTGTCAATGGCTAATACGAACAAACACGCTTGACTAGGATCCGATGTATAATATCTCGACTCGATAATAACGTTTATTATTTTCTGGTAGGAAGCACTTGGCACGAGAGGCAGCGGAATGCCAGATTCATCCGTTTGAGGATAAACGTAAATTTTAAAACCATTTTTTTCACATTTTGAATAATCGAAACACGTTTCCATTCGACATTTTTCCTTTATCGTTTTCCCATCGATATCGTTCGGCCACAATTTTCTTCTTTGGTACACGTTACCACTCAAGTCTTTATCGTAGACTTGATCGTTGATGTCGGTGAAAGACTTGAGAGATTCCAAGTTTTCCGACTTGCTTTTTAAACGATAACCACCGAAATAACAATAAGCTAAAAATGCGCAACTTAATAAAACTAATAAATATCGTTTTTTCGCTTGCATTCTAAATTTAAGTTTTTGACTATTTTGCAGTCAATTATTTGGTTCTCCTGAAAAGAAAAAAAAAAAAAATCATTATTATTATTATTATTATAATTATTTCGACATAAAAAATAAAACATCTCATTAAAATCTCTCATTATATATTTCTACAGAAAAATTTTTTTATTTAATGTAACATTTTCTAAGAAATTCCTGTATGTTGTACCTTATTGTATAAAAAACAATGAAAATATTTATGGTAACTAAAGTAAAATGTTTCAAATAATAATAATAATAATCAACATATGAATGTATGTGTATACACCCATTTTTATAAAGCTTACATTTATTAAACAGGTTTTCGAAAAGAAAATAGTTTTATTTCGTAATTCAAATAAAACAGTAAAATAATAATTAAATAATTTTGTTTAAAATATATATACTGTTATGTTTCAGTACTAAAAATAATAATAATTATATCATGTTGCCACAAAATGACAAATATTTATTTTTAATCGCAAACTTTTCAATGATTTTTAAAACGATAACATACTACCTTAAAATAAATATAAATTATTTTAATGAAGATGTCAAACAGTAGTTGATTTTCAAAAATTTTATTAATAAAAACATGAGTTAATTAAATAAAATAAAAAATATTTTAACTCGAAAAGAAATTACACTCAATATTATTATGAATTCGAAAAAAAATATTTATATTTATATATAAAAGCAATATATATTATATTATTTTACTGTTTTTTATGTAAGATAAACATTAAAATAAATTTTTATTCAGAAACTAATGCTATTTAATTAATATATATGATAAATAAAATGATTCTTGATTGAATTGAACAAGTCATTAAAGTAGACATTACCATCATAAACAAATTAAGCAATTAGTGTGTTATAAATATTAATTAACCTAAAGAGAACGGGTTATTTATGTAAACTTACCGAAAATATTTTCTGCATTTTCAACTAATTTTAAATAAAAATATATTTAAAAATTTAATCCACCGATGAAAAACACAAAATAGGTCCGGCTTTATTGATTAATTATTGTCTATATTAAATCAAACTATACAACTATCAAATAAAAAATTTACTATTTTAACACACGTCCGTAATTTATTAAAATACATGTATAATTTAAAATTTATTATCATAACGTTTTTTCTTCACAAATCCAATCCATTTTTTTTAAAATTAAATTTTTTAAAAAATTATTAAGGTCAATTTAACTTTAACTTAAAAAAAAAAAAAAAAAACTTTTCATTTAAATTTATTTATACGATATCCATACCGGAAAAATTAAATATATTTTATAAATATAAAATAAAGACAATAATACATAATCAAACTGATTTTGACATTCTACTGAGTAAAATCGCGATAAAATAATTTTATTTAATAATTTTCATATCTTACACCTCTCTAAACACCCGCCATTTTGCAAACTAATCAAGGTGATCAAAAAAAACATTCAAACATGAACATCTATTAAATCATAGAGTAATATTCCTTTGGCAAATATTCCTTTGACAATAGAAATTTACCACGTTAACGCTTACGACGAAATTGATTTTAATGGCGCCAAGTTCCGCTTACCATCAAAATTTTATTTTATTTAAAATTAACGATATTTTAACGGAAAAACAAAAAACAAATTTGAGAAAATTAATTTTAATAACTTTATAATTTGAAATAGAAAAAACCAAAAACGATATTTTTATTTAAATAATTAGCGCCAAAAACAACAAAACTCAATTCTTTAAATCATTAAAATTACATTGCATATTTTAAAAAAATACAAGAAATATTTTCCTTTTTTTTTTTTATATATTTATTAATACATAGCTAATAAAATACATATACTATTTACACAAAATATTCATTGTAAAAATATTACACAAAATATATTATAATAATAATAATAATAATTATCCATTGAAATAATAAATATTTCCAGTCTATTTACACAAAGTTCCCTTTTTTAAGTATTATTATTATTACTTATTATTTTTATTGAGAGCACGATTTGTGCAAAAATTTAACCTCAAGAAAGTTCTCCTATGGGTGCATTTTGAAGCCATAAATCATGTATAAAATTATAAAGCTCATCGCTTACGGCAACCTATAAACAAAATAAATTGAATAAAAAACTTTTACAAATCCAAATTTCACTTACTAAACCTCTCATCATTTATTAAATGTTTTTTTTTTATTTTAAAATCAACATTATAATTTTAAATAATAATAATAATTATAATCATTATCATAATAAGGTAGGTAATCAATTAAAATATGTTAAATACAAAAAGCGGTGAAATCAATTTATTTTAATTCATGCCTTCATCCCCAGCACACATTATTTTCAAAAAAGGGGAGTTTTCAATGGGGTGGGGGGTGAGAGGACAGGTTAAACCCAGGTCTAGTTAGACAAGATGGATTGATGACAAAAATTGTTTTTTTTTTTTTTTTTTTTGATCGATTTGTTGTGTGTGTGTGTGAACCTGAATGATAAAATTCGCATGTGATAAAAAAAAAAAAATTCTTATTCAACATCTTATTTTTATTGTTTCCCCCTTTGTTTATGGAGATCCCCGTCTCACAACAACAACAAAAAACTTACCCTCCCCGTCAAAAACATATTTTTTATTGATTTTCTATAAGTAGTCTTGATGTGATTGGTGCTCGATAGTGCACTACTGAAAACCTGTAGGTATGTAAACGTATATAATGTTGAAAACACAATTCATTTCTTCTCACATTAACTAAAAATAAAGCTAACAAATGTCCTCGAAAACAAAAAAAAAAAAAATGGCGATAAGTATAATTACAACGGGTTTTTTTTACTCTTTTCGAAACGGGAATATTATTATTATTATGATCGCAAAAATGATTACAAAATAATTTATATATATACATATCCCGCCACAAAATTATTTTAATACAACCCCAGGGACTCTTTCTCTTTCTCTCTCTCACAACAGCTTTTTATTATTATTTAAAAAGTAAATGAAATTACCTTGTAAGGTGTCGGATTTAAATTACGCTTGTGATCGTTTCGAAGTGTTTCTAAACAGGTTTGAACTCTGTGCCTGACCTCTTCTAAACCTGGCAACGGATGAGTTATACGTCCATTACTCCACCAAACCTTTTCAAAAGAAATTTAATATAAATTATTGGTAAAAACCGGAGACAAATAAAAAAAAGGTACCTTATAGAGTGGCTCGACTCTTGCAGGAATCACATAAGCTCTTTTCGATTCTTGAAAAGGATGACGACATAATACTTTCTTGCCAACTTGAGGAGGTTTCTCGTCTGCTTTTTGCATCAAGTCGATTAACGCGTGACCTAAAATAAAAATTTATACATCATCATTTAAGGTGCATCGTTTAAAAAGGTTCACGTAAGACGAGTCACACTCACCATCAGATCCGTATAACCTGTAGGCAGTTTTTTTTCCAGGCATCGTTATTTTTCCCATATCCTGCGAGAGTTTTATCCTCGGTCTCCCATTGATTTCAACCATTTTATACACGCAACCCAATGCCGGTTGTCGTTGACACGTGACTAAATGAGTACCTATTCCAAAGCAGTCGATTTTATGACTTTGCTCGTTAAGGCTTAATATTGTTTCTTCGTTAATGTCATTCGAAGCGACTATTGTTAATTTTCCAAACCACGGTATTTGATACCTGTCGTACAAATATTTTCTTTTTTATTTCGTTCAACTTATGCTTAATATTAATTTTAACAAAAAACTTTACTTTTTAGCTATCGTTTCAAACATTTCTCTAGCTTTGTTTGACAAATAAGCTAAATCTCCGCTATCTATCCTGATTCCAACGGCTTGATATCCGAGATCATTTAAAGCTAATGCCACGGCACAAAAATTAATTAATCCGCTTCTGTAAAAAGAAAAGAAAAAAAAAGCTATATTACAATTTATCTTGAACTACTTATCCAGGTATTGTTTTATCATTTGGTTTTTTTTTTTTTTTTTTTTTTTAACTCCAGGCATTTAAAATGTGCATTTTGTCAGTAAAATAATTCAATTTTAAAAAAAAAAAAAAATTTTAAGTAATAGTTTTAGTTACTAAACTTGAATTAATATTTTTTTGTGGGGGTGTTGGGTTGGGTTGGGTTATTTGCTTGTTAACTGGAACTCCATAACAGTAACAAAAACTTTGTCCTTTTCAACCAAATCAGGGATGGTCTTTAAATTTCAATTTTTACTACATTTCATTAGTTTGAAAATTAAGCTAAAAAAATGCATGCTTTGTAATAATTATAAGTAAATTTAATTTAGCAAAAAAAAAAAAATCATCATCTAATTTGATGCACAAATTACTACTAACACGACATTCTATTGTTGTAAATTTAAAAAGTTTATTTTTTTTATTTTTTTTGTTGCAAAAATCGTACCAACCGGTACCAACAACTGGAGTTTTTTTTTTTTAAAAAAAAAATATTGATTTTTTTTTATATTATGAATCAAATAAAAAAAAAAAAAAAAAAACTTTTTAAATTTATAATTAAATTAATTAAAAAAAAAAAATATTGCCAGATCCGATAGTGAGAAATGATAAATGAATAAAAAAAATTATAATATTTCGAAATTTTATAAATAATTAAAATAATAATAATAATAATAATAAACATCTACAACACATTTTTTTTTTTACTAAAAATTGATTAAATTTTTTAGTGTGTTAGTCATGAATTACTGAGATTATAGTTAATTTATGTTAGAAACACGTTAAAAATATAATTAAAATAAAATAAAATAAATATTAATAATAAATTGTAATTAAATTTTATTAAATAAAATTAAATAACTATTTTTTTTTTTTTGTAATGTTAGATTTATAGAATTCTAAAACAATTAATCTGATTAGTTTAGAAAAAATAATCGATTAGTATTTTTAAAAGAAAATAAGAAAAACCTAATCGCATGCTTTAATTACTAATAAAATCCAAAAAAAAAAAAAAAAAACCGATTAAGAGGATTAATAAGTAAAATTTAACTGTTAATAATTTTTTTTATTAAATTTCCTATTAATATTTTCGTGATGTAGATGCTTAAAAAAAAAAAAAAAAAAAAAAAACCTAATCAAAAAAAATAAACTGTGCCAACATCTCACTAAAGGTGCTGTAGGGCTGATAAGATCGACTCTTTGCAATGAACTAAACAAAACATAATAATGATGATTATGATTATGATTAAATTTTAATAAAATTAAAAATTATTAAAAAAAAAATTTTTTTTTACCCGACGCATGATTGAAAAAAAAAAAAAATTTTTCATTTTGTCTTTTGTCTCGTCGGTGTGCTTTATATATATATAAAACTACACACTTTGTGTGCTTTGTGAATAATATATATATATATATATATATATATATATATATATATATATATATATATGTTATGATATGATTTGCAAAGAGTCAAACTAAGCCCCAAATGGTACCTCTTGACATCATACGTGTCGACAAGCGCCATAAATCCATGTGGAAAAGCAATTGCAAATGATATTAAGGCCGCCAATTCGCCATCGCTCGCTTCTTCGTTTAGTACTCCGAGAAAATTACAAATTTTTATTCTCCAATTTTTCGACAATTCCACCAAGTCTCTTTCTTCGCCGGTTTTTTGGCATAACAAAGTCTATCGAAAATAAACCATAAGTCAAAAATTAATAAATAAATTAACCCCCCAACCCACCCCACCCGGGTATTAACCAATCGAACCTTTTTTCTCAAATCTCGAACGTCGATGAATGAAGTTATGTATGAATGAGCATGAGTTCCACGTACAGGAATGTTAAACATTTTCCCAGCTAAAACGTTACTCGTTCCATCGAATCCTCCTACAAATAATAATAATAATAATTAAAATATTAATCACCGTTATGTTTCATATATTATTTTGGGGGGGGGGCGGCATGCAACGATATCAAATTAATTTCTGTTAAAAAAAATATATCTCAACACCGATTTTTATTATTTTTGCCCAGTCGAGTTTTCTTTTTATCATCATCATTATCATAATCACTTTCTTGCTTTTATCATTATTATTATTATTATTATTACGAAAAGTTTTACTTTTGTAAGTTTAAACACGAACTCGATGTAATTTTTTTTTTTTTTTATTTGAAAATTCGAATCAAGTCATGCTATTTTAAAATTTCAACTCTGATGATAAGGTAAAAAAAAAAAAAAAAAAAATTTTCCTCCCTTGAATTTTTTTTTTTAAATTGGGTCCCATTCCCCTGGTACCGAAAGTAACCCTTTTCATTTTAACCAGAACCAAAAAAAAAAAAAAAAAAAGAAAAAAAGAAAAAGGAAAATGGGAATTTGAAAACGATTTGAATGGCAAATTCATGTAAATTTTAAACGAATTAAAAATTTTTTTTTTTTTTTTTTTATATATTGACAATGCCTTCTCCTTGAAACGACTGCATAATAATAATAATAATAATAATAATAATCGAATGTTTTTTTTTTTTTTTTTTTTTTAAATTCAAAGTTTCAATTCGATTAAAAAAAATTATATCCGACATATTAGACACTTAATCACACGTATTTAAAAATTATTAAAAAAAAACTCGTTATGCTAACACAACACCTTTGGATTACACCTCAAGGTAAAAAAAAAAAAAAATTTGTCTTGGACAATTTGTAGCCGAGCGATGATGATAATATCGGGGGCAAACCATTGAAAAGTTTTTAATAATAATAATAATAATAATTACCTATGTAAGCATATCTCGAAGCTGATAATCCTCCATCGGGACCTTGAGCACGTCTAAGGCCAAATTCTAATAATGATATATTTTTTCCAGCAGCAATGCGGTATCTGGCAGCGTTTGTCGCCATAAGGCTATTAAAAAAAATTAAATAATAATGATAATAAATATTAAATGAAAACAAGTTGAAAATACATTAAAGTTATTTTGATGAACGTGTGTACCTTGCAAAGTTGACTAGGGTTAAAAGTGTCGTTTCCAAAAGTTGAACAATTATTAAGGGTCCTTCAATCATTATGAGTGGTACTCTCGGGAAAACTATCGAACCTTCATCTATGGCGTGTAGGGTAACGGGAGCAGCTGTGAGTCCTCTTAAAAATACATAAAATTCTGGATCGATGGTCGAGGGTAAGGCTCCTTTAAGGTACTCGATATCTGAAATTTGTGTTTTATTATTATTATTAATTTTTATCTACTTGTTCAATGTCAAAATTAAATTAAATTTTTTTTTTATTTATATTTTTATATACTCACCGCTTTCTGAATACTGAAAATTTTCCAAAAATTTTAAAACTTCTTCTAAACCCGCGAAAACTGTGAATTCTCCTTGAAAAGGATTTGCACGAAAAAAAAGATCAAATACAGCTTGATCATACCTTTTCCCAGATTTCCAATATGCATAAGCCATTGTAATCTGATAAAGATCTGAAAATGAAAATAAAAAAATACATTTAATAATAATAATAATAATATACATTTTGACTTTCATATTGAAAAAAAATGTCTATATCGGGTATTATATGCAAATCATAATTATTTACATTCGATAAGTTACTTCAAATATACATTTATTTATGAATCATTCGAATCAAAAGCCTAATGAAAATTTAATTTATTTCATTGAAATTTTTCATTAGAAAAATACAAAAAAAAAAACTTAATTTAATCTTAATTATACTTAATTTGACTGAAAAAAAAAAAAATTTTTATATTTTTTATAGAGCAAGAAGCAAATAAATAAAAAAAAATGGAAAGATAAGAATTCACGAGTATTATTGTACGATATTCACATAAATTATTATCAGGGTCAAAGTTGGATACATTAGTGTGATAAACAAGTTTACTGTGTGCTTATTTTGATTGAAAGCTACATTATCATGGTAAAATAAAAAATTTTGAAAAATTTTTTTTAATAATCGTACATTAATAATTTTTATGTTTTACATTTAAGCACAATATAACATATATAAATTTTTTTATACATATGTACGAGTCAGGCATGAAAGATTCAGTTTCTATAAGATTTTTAATCCTACTCCATCGTTCATAAATTGTACACTTTAAGCAATAGCAGTAATTACTAGTAATAAAATATTAAAGTTTTATTTATTAATATTTTTTAAACTTTAAGTAAAAAAGAACCTACTTCTAATAAATGTTAATAAAACATTAATGCCATATAATAGAAAAATTTTTTCAATTAAAATGCATTAAAAGTTTACACAAAAACAATTTATCATGTTCCAGCATGTATTTTCATATAATAACAACACAACTTTGGTGTTGGAAATTTGTCATTTTTTTTTTTAAAAATAGTTAAATTCAATATTAAAGTAAAGTAAAAAGAGAAAATTATGCAATACCTAGTTATTATTTACAAAAGAATTAATTAAAATTTTATTTAGTTTGAATATTATACCATAATAAAAAGTAAAAAATAAACAAATTTCATTTTTTGATAATAAACACTTATCTTTCAACAATCAGAAAAATTTGATTTTTTGTAAATAAAATTTTTTTTAATAATAAAGTCTATAATATTGCATAATTCATAATAATAATAAAATATACTATTAAAAAAAAAAAAAACATACCTGTAAGTAATGGTTGAACTATTCCACTTTGACCATTTAAATTTGCTTTAATTTTTTTAGATTTCATAGGAAAATTACCCGTAGGACTTTTCTCTTGATTGACCGGCGAATTCATATTTAATTAATTTTACAATGGTATTATATAAATAAAATTTAAGGAAACTAAAATAAGGTACTCGTTTACGGTTAAAGAGATTCAACGGACTTGAAAACATTTAACCTTTGCTCTTCATTTTATTGTGACAGAAGAAAAAAAAAAAAAAATTTATACTTTTTTTAAGTATCAAGGCATTTATATTCGTTAACAAAACACTTATCTTTGTTCACGATTCAGATATAACTGAAAACTAACCCATTTTGTTGGATTACACATTAAATAAATTGTGACTACTTCTCCCTCCATATTGATTGTAGAGGTCAAATCACATGTGCAAACATGCGCATCAATTCGTAACAAGTGGTGCCAACCTAAAGTAGGGGAAATTTATCGCCGAAATAATAATTTTAATTATACGAAATTAAAATTGTTTACAATTGTAAAATATGAATTTTAATATGTTATAAAAACCAACTTTTACCTAAATAAATTTATTTAAAACGATAGATTAATAAAAAAATAAATAAATAAAATTACAGTCCGTTAAAATTACCATAATTAATTATTCTGCAATAAATAAATAAATAAAAAATAGAGAATTATTGACTAACGTTAAATTAGTCACAATTTTTTCCCTTGTAAATTATTATTATTATTTTTTTTTAATAAATTATTTAAACACAATAATATTATAATTATAAAGAAAAAAATGAAAATAAAAATGTTTTTGTATGCATTAATCATTAAATCCTCATAAAAAAAAATAAAAACACGCAAAAGTTTTCGTTACAAGTAATAAAATAATAAAAAAAAAAAAGAGTTAATTTATTAACAGAAAAATTATTTTTTTTTTTTACTAATATTATTATTTTTGATCAAATTATACAAAATTTTATACAATCATCTAATAAGAAACATTTTAATCAAATAAAATATAAAAAAATTTATTAATTTATATATATATATATATATATATATATATATATATATATATATATATATATATATATATATATATATATATATATATATATTAATAATGTCAGAAATCCCGTTAAATAGGATTGCTTGACGCTTTTATTAATATTATAGAGAAAAATATTTACTTCTTTTTTAAAATTATTATTATTATTAAGGTGCACTTTTTATGTTTTTTAATTTAATAATAATAATAATAATAATAATAAATGTAAAATTTATTATAATGACTATATCAAAACAAAATTTTAATATTTTCATTAATAATAAATTATATTTAAAATAAATAAATTACTTAATTAATCGAAATCTTAATAAATACTCGGTAAAAAAATAAATAAATAAATAAAAAAACAATTTAAACTTATAAATAAATAAAAAATTATGTACAAAACACGACTGCAACAATAAAATTAAAAATTATTAAAAAAAAATTTTTAAATAACCGACTAAAATCATAAAAGTACAAATTTTTATTTTTCTATTGTAAAAATCTCACGGTAAAATTTAAAATTTAAATTTGAAACATATATTATTATTATTATTATTATTATTGATTAATAATAAAATATAAAAATATTAATATTTAATTAATTAATTAGAGTGTTGAGGCAATTAACAAAATTTTTGTGCTTTCATAGAAAAAAAAAAATTAAAAATGTTATTATTTTACACTTTCTAAATATTAAATATACAAATTTAAATACATTTTGCAATAATAATAATAATAATAATGATGATGAGAAAAAAATAAAAAGTTACATGACAAGTAAAAATTAATAAAAAAAAAAAAAAAGAAAATTTTAATAATTAATTATTTATTTTTTATTGAGCTATGGTTAAAAAAAATTTAAATTTAAATCGAATCACAGTTTATTTAAATTTAATTTAAATTTATTTTTGTATTAAGTACATAAAATATATTAAATATTTTTTTTGGTAATAATATTCGATTGCACGATAAACATTGTGTTAAAAATTTTTCATATTTAAAATGAGAGAGAGAGAGAAATAAAATTAATAAATTTTTTTTTACTTGGTGTTAAAAAAAAAAGAATAAAATTTAAAGCTTATTTAATAAATTATTACTTTTCACTATTTATTAAAAATTATTAATTAAAGTTCATGTGAAAATTATTATTAAATTATTATTATTTTTTTTTTCAGTCTTTTATTAATATTTATTTTCACATAAAATCCAGAATTAACCCATTATTTCGGCTGCTCTTTCTTTATCACGTTCAACTTCTAACGGATGCATACGTTTTCTATGTGAAAAACAATTTCCAGAACTAGCAAATGCTTTTGGACAATATGGACACTGATATGGACGAGCACCGGTATGTTGATTGATATGAAACTAATTTTTTTTTTGGAAAATTAACATCAACTCGTGAAAATAAAAGAAAATTTCTATTAATTTACCTTTAAATCTTGATTTCTTTTAAATGTTTTACTGCATAACGGACATTTATGAGGTCTCAAATCAGAATGAGTTATACTATGAGCTCTAAGGGTTGAATTCGTTGGATAAACTCTACCACAAACCGGACACGGAAATTGTACTCCACCGTGATAATCTTTATGTCTAAATAAGTTTGCCGCAGTTTTAAATCTAATCAAAAAAAAAATTATTATTAGTCTTTTTGAGAATAGTTAAAATGAAAATGAAAATAATTTTCTTACACTCTTCCACATATATCACAACGTATTTTCCTTTCGGCCTATGAGTTTCCAAATGTACTTTTAAATTACCTTTCGTTGAAATTTTCTTACCACAAATGGGACAAACGTATTTTAATAAATGTGGATTTTCCGATGGATGAGCCGTGTGCAAGACGCCATTCGATGAATATACCTGACTACCTTCCAAATCGATATTTCTAAATTAAAAAAAGAAAAATGATTTTTTTTTCCGTTAATCACAGGATTCACATTCATAATACTTACTTCGGTATCATACTTCCGCCATTAGATTGAGATTTTCTAGATTTAGGTAAATGAGACCATAAATGATTTTGCAATCCGATGTCGGTTATAAATGAACGAGGACAAAGTGTACATTTATAAGGTTTACCTAATTTTAAACTCGCAATGACGGGATTCATTTTTTGTTGAAGTCTTGTCATGACCAATGGCCGACCATCACCTCCCCCCGATTTACTGTTAAAAAAAAAAAAAAAAAAAATGTACGAAAAATAAAATGAAAAAAATTATTTATTAATGCTGTTTTGTTTACCAACCATTTATCCGTTTCTTTTTTTTCACTTTCAGATAAATTTTGTATTTTTGTATTTATTATTAATCCATTTTCGCTATTACTATTACTATTTACGCTACTGTCAACCGTTAAACTATCCTGACCATCTTGAGAATCTTGTTCGATTTCGTTACCACTTTGACTAGCGTTTGAAAAATATAATGTCGGATCGACTTTAACTTCCATTTCCGTTATTTCGATATCTGAATTTTCATCCGGTTCGCTTTCTTGATCCGTTTCCGAATCCTATTTATAAAAACAATTGTTCACTCTGTTGTTAAATTAAAAAAGAAATATTTTCACTTACCATTTCATCTTTTATTATTTGATTTAATCTATCTTCTGCTATTTCTTCTGCTATGTCTTCATCCTCTTGATCATCGGCGGGTTCTTGTTTTATTTTAGTATCTTCTTCTTTTACTTTCATTAAATAATCGTGATCTATGTCCAAAGGCATTTGTTGTTTACCCTGTTTATGAAAAATCAATATTAAAATGATCGTTATTTAGTTTAAGAAAAAAGTCACGTGATGTACTACGTACCTTAAGTAACAAACAATGAAGAAGACTAGGATTTGGTTTTTCTTCATCTTGGATAACAAGACGATCGCTGTCGCTGGTATCAGCTTCATTTTCATCATCATCATCATCATCATCATCATCCGTCATCGATTGTTTCCGGTCTTTGACTTTAACAGAACCGTTAATAATAATTTTATTTTTTTTTCTCGTTATTTTATGTTCATTTTTTTTATTAAAATTTCTCTCGTCGGTTAAATTATTTTCCGTTGTAATATCATCATCTAATTTGACTTCGGTGGTGTTTACGTCACTACCGACAATTTCAACGGCCACATCTAAATTCATTTCAATATTTTCATCATCTAAATCGGATTTAAGTTTTGATTTCCAACCGGAAATGAAATTTTCTTTATAATTTTCATCGTTTATCACAACGGATTTATTATTACATTCTTTAACGGCTTCCTTATTAATATCATCTAAACTTTTTATTTTTATTTTTGGCTTTTCTTGTTTCGTCGCTAAAAGCATTCGAAATTTTTCTTGCATTTCGGCCGCCATTTTAGCAAATCTGTGAATGTTTTCCAATTTTT